GCATAATTTTCCGCATAATTCACCCTTTTCTCCGCATAATATGGGGAAAAAATTCCGCATAATTTTGATTTTTTTCGCGCATAATTCCGACATGCCTGTATTGTTGTCTTAGTGTGTATAGCAATGTCTTACTTCAACTTGGAGAGGTTTAATGTCCCCTGTCTCATGAAATCAAGAATTCTTCCTGGAGTTCCAACAAGAACATCCAGTCCATCCCTGATAGCCATTTCTACATTAAAAAGAGATGCTTTGTTAAAGCAATCTATTCTACCATGAAACCATACAGTGAGATATGATTGGGAAATTGCTGTGTTGAGGCCAGTGCTACATATTCTTTATACTATAACATATATACCTTGTGGGTCATATGGCATCCCTCCATATATACAGTATACTTTCAGCTCTGATCTCAGATTCTCAAATTCTTTACCAACTTGTTTTGCAAGCTCTCTTGTAGGCGCCATGACAAGAACCTGCATTAGAAAGTCATCTTATTTAGAACAAGATGAAAGAACCACAACTATTAACGAGCCATAAACTTGCATCCACAATGAAATACCTTTGGGGGTCTTCCTCTTGATTGATCAAGTTTCTTTTTATGCAATTTTTCCATCAAAGGGAGTGCAAAGGAAAGCTAAAAACATAAAATAGTAATTGGTTCAGTCCAATCAAGTTATCCTTAACTAATTACAATGTTTYAGATAACCATGTATTTTAGAAGCGGTGTGCATAACAAACTATACATATTATCAAAATACTTCTTTGAGAAAGATACAGCAATTTTCAAGATAACTACACAGCACTGAACATTGCCRAATGGAAATATATTAATAGGAGAGTATAACGACAGTTCACTTACAGTCTTGCCAGTGCCAGTTCCTAGAAAAAAGAAAACATTAGTAATATTATTCAACAAAAACAAGATAGTCCTTCCTTTTGATAGATTATAGTCAAGAGTACTTACTTGCTTGTGCTATTACATCATGACCATCATAGATATAGTCATATGTATGAGCCTGTATGGGAAAAAGATATGTGATACCTCTGTCTGTAATAGAATAAATATTGGCAATATGATAAGCACTATATCATCAAATTGTATTTAAGCATCATATATCCATATTGTCATTGACAACCTCAATAGTACCATCATGACTGTAATAATAAGTGAGTTGCTAACAAACATACCTTCCAGAGAAAGGACTGCCTTTGATGATATCCTAAACTTGGCAAAATCTCCCTCTCTTTGAGCAACACTTAGTTCCACCTGAAATAATCAACAAATACAAAATAAATTGTTAGGATTCATAAAATAAAAATGAACGAATATATAATGTGTGCATTAGATGACTGTGCTAGTGCTCAAATCTAAGAGTTTGTCAWGGTCAAAGGCAGATCAGCCACGTTCACACACTTAAAACAGCTGATCATACTAACCCCTTCATCACTGTCCCTGTCTTCACTTGTCTTTCTTTTCTTTCTGTCAGTTTGTTCATCGACATCTTCTTCCAGCTTGCGCTTTTTCTTGGCCTTTTTTTCCTTCTTGAAAATTCAACAATCAAACATTTTTTAAAAAACTCTAGATACTTAAGTATTAGTTATATAAGTAAGTTTATACTGCATAGAGTCGTAACCACCACTCATAAGGTTATATATATTTTACAGCTGTATCTGTGTTATCGTGATTTTATAACTGAATATAAAAATCTAATAGTAATATACAAATATACCCTTTATAAAGGCGAAATTGTTGGAATGTTTTGATTTCTCGTCGGTAACACGTGCTAGCAGTGAAAAAAACATCAGCTTACTTTTGAACTGTGCTCAGCAGGTTYTTTGTCTTCTTTCTTGTCTTTCTTGGACTTCTTCTTATCCTTTTTCTCGGCCATATTAACAATTTACAAAGTTAAACACTAGTTTGGCTTCTATTTTTAAATATGTAGTTTGAACAGCGATCGACCAGATTTTTCAACCAGAGCGAGTAGAAATATTGCGCAACTATAGCCCAGTCTCTCTCGTTTCATAATTATAATAATTTGCATATTATTAACCAACATGGAGGAATCTTGGGAAGTTCTTGTTCCTCCTCCAGAGATCGTACATTCAAGTCGGAATGAGATGAACTCTAGTAGTGAACAACAGAAGACTGCCACCAATATCAAGGTAGTTGTCTGATCGTATATAGGAATAAGTATTATAGAACTTGTTATTAATGTTTGCTTGGCAAAATGCATTTGCTTCCGGTAAGTTAAGCTTATCTTAATTTTGCTTTCGAAATTCAGCTTAAGCAAGATGTCAGCAAGATTTTTTCCTGTGTTTGTATATTTTAGTTCTGTTTATACACGTAGAATCATTATAGATAAACAAATTACTTATCATGTGATKAAATTATGATATCTGCAGATCAACGTTTGTTTGTAATATAACTTATCATGATTGGTTGGTTGCATTTATCCTGTCTATACTGGTTAAGCTTAATATGCTATGAGATTCCTTTTGAACGATTATAAATAAGTGCTATTGTAATATGCACTGAATTAGATTGTATTTCTCATGGTTTTAGACGTCATGAGTGCCCAGGGAATCGTGTATTATGATGTTGATACATAATCCATGTTACATAGAAAACTGAAATGATCTCACATTAAGACTACAGCGATCTGGTTAGAAACTACCATGTGATTAATACATGCTAGTTCTACTTTCAAAGTCTCTGTTTAAGCACCTCTTTGGAGACAGACTGGCATCAGCAAGCTGATTCTTCCTGTTTGCTTTGCTGTGTACATASAGAACAGTTCACCTTGACAGGCATAGAAACAGGAGTAAATTGACTTCGGATGTTAGTCTGGTTATAGCTATGAATGTAGGTTTAAATGACTGTCCTGTAGATAGCTTTTTTAATTGCATGAATCAATATTGTAGCCCAAAGTCCCAACTCAAAGCTCAACTGATGGGGCAAATATCAACAAGGCAGGTCTTTTATTAAGAATTTTCTTTCTCTCTTCTGTTAGAGTGAACCAAAGTTATGTGGGTTTTTGAACAAGCTTGGAGGTAACAGGCACCTAGATAATGAATTGATTAATGGGTGAATTATGTAGTTAATCTTTATTTTTCTATTTAGAGAAAGGAATCATCAAAACATGGAAATCAAGATGGTATAAAATTAGTTTTATTAATTTTTCTGACATACAGGAAATGACATTATAAACTGATTGAGAATTTTCCATCTAGGTTTGTATTTGATGAAAGTCGCTGTAGATTATTTTATTACAGGACACCACAGGACCATGTGCAACTGGGGTAAGATTATTTAATGTCGTGAGTACTAACAATAACTTATATTTATGTCAGTTTGTAATCAACAGGTTTATTGATATAGCAACTGCAACTTTCTCATTTCAAGTTGAAAACCCAGATAGACTGAACCAGTTTGATATATGGTATGACCAATACTGGATATTATGCTATTTTTCACTTAAGCACACRTTAAAAAATGTTGTGCAATTGCCTTTTGTTAGTGTTTCAGACAGGAAGTACCACCTTCAAGCAAAAGACAAACAAACAATGATGTTCTGGTTACAAGAGTTACAGGTGATTGATTGATTTTATTCATCGTTATCATGCATTGATAATTAATTAGGATTCAAAGSTATTAATTTGGCTGTTTGTGTTTATTTCTTTATTAAACTATTTAACATTCCTTCTAAACATACCTCTTTAATTTTCAGACAAGAAGACGCAACTATAGTAAAAAGCGTGCAAATGCAGCTCTTCAAAACAGAGATTTACATAGCGTCATTTCAGTYGTGGTAAAAAGAGATGCAAGAACTCACTTTCTATATTTTTGTTGTCTAACTAAGCTCAAAATAAATGAAGATTTAGCTCCATGGAAACAACAGCTGTATGCTCTGGTGGTGCAGAACCTATGTTAGAGCATCTATGAAGAAGATCTATTGTTTGTACTTGTACAACCTTACAATCCTCTTGTTTCTTAAAGCCAAATCTTCAGTTCTTTTGTGCATAATTATTCATCTGGAATATTGAAACTGGGCTATYTGTGATTGTCTAAAATGTCTCCTTTACCAATATTGATTGACAACTTTTGTATTTTAGAATTCAGGTGGTTTGATTGGAAATGAAGACAATGATCAAGAAAATACGGAGAATCCTCAAGGTACATAATGTTAATATTGAAAAAACTCTATGTATCTCCAACAATACTTTATTATGAAAAAACTAAATGTCCCAAGCTTTCGGACGATCGTCCATCATCAGGGTGATCAGAATAGCATAAAATTACAATATATATATATAAGAAGATTAATTTACATGAGAAAAGATTAAAAATAACAAATCAGAATCTATGAATAGAAATAATAACAATAACCATAAAAAATAAAGATGAGCAAATAATGACGATATTTATTCTATCGTATTAAGTATTATTTTTGCATATTTGCAGAGGAGACAAAAGAGAGTCGTGTAATGCAGAGGGTGCCTCCTCCAGAAACAGTTGGCCAAGAGGCTGCCTTGAAGTCACCATCAGGAGGAGGAATGTTTAATCTGTCATTTAACAACATTAGAACAGAGTTTAGAAATATGAGGTACATATCAACAACATGATGACAGAAAGACAGTYATAAACTAAAAGTAAACATATAGACCTGAAATATTCTGGAATCCCTATTATGATGGCCAGGAAGGAATGGTATTGAGTGGTTCCCTAACTACCAAATCCTCCATTTCTTTTCATTCTTTGCATACAAACAAGAGGAAAACACAGCTACTAATGACATGAAAGACATTGATCATTTCTATATTCATTCATTTTTAGTGCAAAAAGATTTTCAGCAAGTTTTGCAGGCAATACACCATTATATGTTCCACCATCAATCTCTGAACAACCTGAAGGTAATATGAAGACTGAACAAAATCAATCTAAAATCAACCAAGATATGACTGGTAATTGTCAAAGGTAACCAAAATTGTAAACCGTATTATAAATATCATATTTGTTGACAAATTCTTCATCTTCAATCACTGGTCATGTTAGTTCTTTTCAGAGTCACATAAAAACATTTGAAGAAAATCCAAATCAAGAAGTTGAATGTCAGAGTGAGAATGCAAGGCAAGTAGGTTTAGAGGTGTTTTACAATAATCTGTCAATAGCTGATGTATACATCAATGTATTGCTGTTGCAGTACAAACACGGAATCATCAAAGATACATGTAGCTGATGCTCTGAGAAGGTGTGTTTCTATCTTCCTGCATTGCTAGCAAAATTAATTTGAAACTGATTTGGTTGTATTTTATTGAACAGGAAGTTTGCTGCCAGTAGGTCCACTACTGCACCTACGTCATCTGCCAAGTGTCAAGAATGTGAAAAGGTATGAAAGATAAATCAGACAATGGTCATCCATATGTGCTGTAATTTTGCTATTTTGCTCATTTTTTTTAGGTTCGTTCAACATTACAATCATATGAAAAAGATCTGACATCAGCAAGAGAGTGAGTTTAGTGTCATTTCTTGTTGTTGTTATGTTTTTCTTGTTTAATTAATAAAACACACTGCTTCATTCACACAGAGAAATATCAGTCCGGCAGGAAGTCATTCTCAACTTGCATGAACTTCTAAGGTAGAWTTTTTTCTAAAGCTGCTAATATCACTTTACCTAAAACATTGAATACAGCTATAATCAATACCCTCGTTTTTATTATCTGATGAGCTCAGTGTAAAGGCCATACGGGAAGTTATGCACTGATTGTTTCAGTGATACATATTAGATCATCGTAGCCTCCTCTGCAGGCATCACAAAAAAATCATGGGCTTCCTGTCTTGTTTGGGAGTGAAAAGAGGGAGAATGGGGGCAAGAGAAGGGAAGCGTGTCTAACCTCTTCTTATTTTTCCTTTCTTGTCACTAGTCCCTAACGGCCAAGATGACCGTTACAAAGGAAACCCAAAAGTGGAAAAAAGAGTTGCTTGGGGAGGAGGCTAAGATCATCTTAAATATTAGCATTTTGAGCAATGTGACTAACTTCATCGATTTTAGGGGAAAGAGACATGACCTTTGAAAGAAGCATTGATGATCAAACATTAGGATTTCATAATGTACTGGAGGCTCATATGATGTTATGGTCATGACTCATACTTTTTGATATTTTTCTATTTTTCTTTTCAGGAAGTTTCAAATAGAGAAGTCTGATAAGTAAGATATCTGCTTTGATGTGTTTGGTGAGCTTTTCAGGGAACTTATTGAATATATGATTTTAAAGTYTACAGTCAGAYCAAATGAAGCTTGAAGATCAAATTCAGTCCAAAGATGACTACATATGTAAGGTAAAAAACCCTTCGCATTACTGGTTTGACATCATGATAATTCTCAACATTGTATTCCATCATTATTACATCTTGGCAATCATCATGGTGAAGCATCCTTGTCATTACCAATAATTACCAATAAAAGAGTTTTGTGTTTTTGTTAAGCTTGAAGAACAGATTCGACAGCAGGAAGAACATCATGCTGAGGCATTAAAGTAAGTTAATATCTGTGCTTGAAAGAAGGYTGTTCCATTAAATGAGGTGTTTGGTGCTTGCAGAGAGAAGGACAAAGAGTTGTGTGGACTACTTGAACAAATCCAAATGTACCAGGAAATGGTAGCAGTCAAGGACCAAGTTGTTGTGTCTTTGACTAACGAGGTAATTATTAAAACCACTTGACTTGTGTTTTCTTGTGTCACCATCATTCATTTCTCAGAAAAGATTTTTTTTTCGAATTTCAAACTTTTTGCAGCTGCTGGCTTTATTTGGAAATTAAGATCAAATGACACTCTTGCCTTGTCGCAGTACAAATTTCTTTTTTGATTGTTACAACAAGTCATTCCACCGACTTTTTCTACAGCTTCACAGTTTAGAGAAGACTTACAAGAATCCAGAAGGAGAAGAAGTTGGTGAGGAGGTCGAACCCGAGAGGTTAGTCTCTACTTCCCAAACAAAGTCATACCAATTGAATGCAGATGGTGGTGGATGGTGGTATACATCCCTTTCCCTGCTGTATTTTACCATATTCTACCTGCTATCACTGATTCTCGTTTCAGTCCAACACTCAGAGAAACTCAAAATGGGATTGATAACATTCATGAGATAGACAAACTAAAGGAAGCATGTCAGGCATATGCTTTGCAGAACAGGTTTATTAACAGTGAAATCCTTGAGTTGAACAAATTAAGACAAGATGACGAAGAACGGCTGAGGCTCCAAGAAGTGTACGTTCATTTGTTACTGTCGTATATGGTTTTTCCTCTGCATAACTGACTGTTTTTATTGTACAGTAAACTCTCGACAGCAGAAGCTGAGATGTGCAAGTTTAAGTCAAAATATCTACTGGTGTTAAGGGAACTGCAACGACCAAGAAAGGGTAAGAKATATAAGATCGATATATCATTTGACTAACAATATAGTAATCATGGCTCAATATACTATCATCTGCCAGGTGGCGATACATCAGAGGATGACGTCATCGGTCAACTATTGCAGGACGCTCTAGACAGTGAATCGTTGGATAAGTCTTCATTATCTCGATCTGTGTAAGTTTTAAGGCCAATTGTAATCTAGAGATTGTAATAACTSTCTGTAATACGGAGGTGATATTTAGTATCTGTCAACTATTCATTGTTTGCAGTATGGCGCCATATGACAGATGGGGTTTCCCCCAAAAACTTAACAGCCAAGATGAGGATGCTTTCCTTTCCATGGCAAACCGCTTGGGAAGACGATCAGAAGAAATTAAGGCGAGTATCTTTATGTCCACGGGGAGTCCATATTGCATTATATATGATGTGATAACAACTAGATCGTTACTATAAAATGATTGCAGGCAAACAGGGAAAACCTGGAGACGTCAAATGCTGTAAAATGGGACAATTACATGGTGACCCATCAGAATAGAGAATTTCAGAAAACGGTAACTGTTTTACATTAACCATTTGTCATGATAATGGCTGACACGTCACTACTTCAATGTCGTTGGTAAGGAGTTTTACGACGTATACCATAGTTTAATACACTTCTGTCAATCATCAGGTTGAGTTGAAGACTCTCATACGTTCTGGTATAACAGACCAGTACCGTGCCCATATATGGAGGCAGTGTATCCACTTCCATGTACGMGAGACGAAGAAAATGGCAGGGCCGAACTATTATCAGAATCTATTAGAATCTATCGAGGGAAAATTCTCACCAGCAGCTAAACAAATAGGACTCGATTTACTGCGCACTTTACCTAATAATCTACACTATGAAAAACCTGACTCTCCCGGGGTAAGAATGAACGGATAATGATTAAATGATTTGGATGATGTATAGCATGGCGTCGGCAATACGATGATGACAGTTATGATGGCGCGGATGATGACTCACGTGAATGCTTGATGTTGTTTTTTATCAGATTGAGAAACTTCGTCGAGTTCTTCTTGCGTACAGTTGGCACAACCCTGAAGTCGGTTATTGTCAGGTATGAACACAAGTCATGGACTGTCAGTCATTACCAAACTCTCATTCATTTTTATTTGTAGGGTATCAACCGTCTTGTAGCCATAGCAATGCTTTACTTAACAGAAGAAGAAGCGTTTTGGTAAATATGTGACACCTCCCTAACTAATAATTAGTTTGCTGTTGATTGGTTAACGGTTCTTATTTAATGCAGGTGTTTGGTGGCATTCATTGAGCATATCATGCCTAAGGACTACTACTCCAAGACTTTACTAGCAGCACAAGCTGATCAACGAGTTCTCAAAGACTTCTTGGCAGACAAGCTACCAAAGGTTTACGCTCACTTGGAAAGTCTTTGGTAAGTAGTGCGAAGAAAATCTGGGGTTGTGGTTGTTCGGTCGATCATAATCGTGGTTCTCTTTTCTTCTAGTGTTGATTTATCTCTTCTTACTTTTAACTGGTTTTTGACAGTATTTGTTGACAGTTTTCCCATCGAGGTAAGTTCAGTTGTTTCATAGTATTTTTCATTACATGTTTATTGATATGATTTTTTTTAGACTATCTTGCGTGTATGGGACTGTTTCATGTTTGAAGGAAAT